ATCCTGTCTGTATTTGGCCTGACCTGGGCTGTGCATCATAATACAATCCTTAGACCCAAATGCGTCTTTTTTTAATTCGTGGTGAATTCAAATGAGCTACATGCCAACAGAACACGTGTTATGGGTATACGCAATGGGTATACGCAATGCTGTTGAGAATTGCTCTTTACAGACCAGAACTGAAATCTTAAGATATTCCCGGCTGGGGCCTATGTACATAACCAGTTAGTGATGTGTTTATCATCTATTTCTGGAGTTAGATATGACATGAACATGTATCTAAATCTCCGTTTGAAGAAGAGGTGCAATGAGAGAATACCAGTTCGGTATCGTTCGATCGTTCGTCAACACGCATCCGTCGGCTGATGCTATATTTTGAGGTTTGAATATCGGGCCAGGAAGAGGACATACGCGTCCTCTCCCTGGCGGCGCCCGCGAGACAGCTGCCCGGTTACCGGGCGGCGCGGCCCCGCACAGGGCACGACACATGTGGCGCAGTTTCCGGGCTGGCCGTAGGGCCGGGGCCGCAGGGACGGTAAACTAAACAAAACATAAATCTAAAGGGATACTCGACACGGGACCGAAAAATGGAGAAAAAAAAACAGAAGCTCAGAGACAGGACAGCAAAGCCGACACTTCACAAAAAAGGAAACCGTGTAAAGGCAGATTGTACGGAACAATACCTAGTATTTAGAACCTGTCAAATTTAAGTAAGGCTTTTATCTTCGAAGAGAAGACATCATATTGACAACGCGTCGATTTTTCAGTGTTCTCCAATTGCAGCGTGCTGCTATGTTGGGCACTTGGTGCCTGCTAAATGAATGGTGGCATTACTCAGCTACTTACCAATTTTTCGCCTGTGCTCAAGCTATCAGGGACTTTGACGGATATCAAGAGGGATGTAATCATTAGCAGAAACACAGGCCAACGGTTTCAGGACGTCATTGATGTAAATGAAGTATCATAAACACTTCTTCAAAGATAGCCAGCAGGTTAACGACAGTCTCCTTCAGCGGAAGAATCCGGTGTGACGTTCAACACCGTGCCAGTGTTTTGGTTGCGGTCTTGAAAGGAAAAGGATCCAGGATTAGTGACAAATACGTTTCTGGAAGGACGCCCTGGGTGGATATTGAATACCGGTTATATGTATATGTATATATATATATATATATATATATATATATATATATATATATATATATAATATATATATATATATATATATAATATATATACATGCACGTGTACGTCACGGTGTGTCATTTTGCACAGGCGTTCCAACTGTGATGTTGCTGGTTTTATGAAACACCCATTTTCACGTCAGATTTCGGCATCCCCTTGATCTTTTTTCTACATGCGCACACCCTACCCAACAATCATTTTGGAACACTGTCAGCAGCCGAGCTCAATTTGTTGCGCAACGCAATCGCGCTTTTAAAAATTGTGAACTCGCCGGGTCACCAACCAAAGCAGGCAACAGACGACCATACTCTAGTGTCAGCACTATGAAACTTAGGACACCGTCCCTCCCAATGTCACATTTGAGCCCGCTCATGCTGTGTTACTCTTGCATGCATTTCGAACTTAAACAAACACGTCAGTGAGGGGCTGATAATTTCTGCATTATGCCAGGAGCTAGGCATTTCGTTTCATATCTTCACGTCTCGCAACAACCTGGAAAAGGGATGTTTTTTGCGACATTTACCAGAGCGTGGAAGAAGTCGTAAATGGCGGCCCAGCGTGTTCTCGTGCTCACATAACTGGCGTTACGCTTTTGGCTGGCGAAGCAGCCATCTTTTTATTCCGTTGGGCCGGGAGAGGTGAATCGATATAACTTTCGACTTTAACACCATGCATGTCGTCAAATATAGGCATAGCATTATCAAAATGCACTACAAGGAGCAGACATTGTCTTTCTATCTATTTCCGCCCCACCAAAGATAATAGAGCGCTCACGCAGCGGCGTCGAAATTGTGTCGGATACGCAACGAATGACACCGAGCATCTGGCCGCGCCGCGTCGCTGGTGGGCATCGACAGCCTCCCTGCCGTGTCGTCGGTCGGGAATGATGGGGCGATCGCTCCACCTGAGCGAGCGCGCCGCGCCGCAGGAAATCGGAGCCCCCTCGCCCGAACGGACGCCGCCGAGCGAAAAGATAGTCGGCGTATGAGGCAGGAACTGAAGACGACATGGCGTCCGACCCAGCCCCTGGTGCAGTGTCGATAGAAAAACAAGTGTGCAAGGGATGGAGTGCAGTTTGGAATGCCAGCAAGTATGGAGCAATAAGATTGTGCTGGCACGTAAATACGGACAAAGGCATGAGGAGGCGTGGAAACGGAGTGACGGGAACAAAGTGGCATTGAAATCTGACATTGATCGGCCTCCGCTGCCAAATTCGCCTGCAGGAATTTTCCAGCTTCCTGGCACCACCGCATCGCTTGCACCGCCACTCCGGTGCCATGATCACCACGACAGCAACAGCCGACCATAAAGACTACGCCGCTCACCAACAGCGTCTGGCTGTCTGACGCCGTCAATGGTGGCGGCAGCCTGTTCCGACAACCCACCCGCAGCCGTCTTAAATCATCTGCGGATCTGCGCTGTTCGTCGACTGACCTGCCACATAGAAGAGCCACTCGTTGGCGGTGCGGAGACGTTCGCTGGACCACGTCTGCCACACCGTGACGTAGGCGAAGAGCAGGCGCTGTGTGTGGAACGGCGCCCAGCACAGGAAGAAGACGATCACCACGGCCACTGGGGGAGGAAGACGAGTCAGTGCGCCGCGTTCCAGGGCGACACCGACGGCACCAATGACGTCATCGGTAGGGATCCGCGATCATCACTGGGGACAGTGCTCTGCTGACGCCTGTCGCATGAGCAGCTCTTCCGTCCATATAGCACTAGGCCAACCGTGCAACGAGCTGGGTGCTTTTTGTTGTTGTTCGAAGCGTTTAAACTAGCTCCTTCTCCGTCTCCCATGCGCATTGATGTCCTAAAAGTGTTGATTAGATAACTCACCTCCATGACAATTGGCTCCTCCCCGTCATATTCATACGCTAATCACGGACGATAGCCAGTTCCTCCCCGTCACATTCATGCGCTAATCACGGACGATTGCCAGTTCCTCCCCTTCACATTCATGCGCTAATCACGAACGATAGCCAGTCAGCGTAAGTGGATTGCCTTTACTGCAGCAACGTTCCTCTAAGTTGCTCACTTTGCCTAACATCAATCGCAAGACTTGTAGGCGAATAACATATCCAATCAGCGTACGATTCTAGCTAAGAGAAAGCAGACAATTCAGAAAACGAAACTCCGCCTGAGTGGACGAGCCCTTCTACAACTATATACCTGCCTGAACTTTTAGGTCGATTTTGGTGCGCAGCCGGAGACCGATCTGAGAGAGGTTCCCGGCATAACTTGGCAGTGTTGATGAACTTTAGGAGCTACCGGATTAAAGATGCATTCCATATGATCGCCTAAGGCTCTCATTGGTATAATCGGGATGATACACCAATTTAACTCTCAATATACGTGACTGGCGGGCTATTTTTCGTAATCTGGCGCCTTTGGCAGTTTTTACCACCCGCCTTTACCAATGCTCTGTCCCTCTCGCCGTCTTCCTACTCTCTTTGATGCAAGGGTCCTTCAC